AAGGCTCGAGCGACAGCAGGCTGAGGTAGGCTTCTCCGCCCTTGGTGTACCTCTGTCATAGGAGCGCAATGTCGACCCCTCATGCCGCGTGGATCTCCGCGGCGGTGAAGGCGGCATGCCAGTCGGGAGCTCCGCGCCGGACCGTTGCGGCAGTGGCCGCGGCAGTCACAACTGCAATCCTGCAGCAGACTGCCAAGGCCACACCGGCAAGGACCGTCGAGGAGCACACTGGCACCGCGGCAGCTGGGCTTTCTGGCGACTGCGAGGCACTGGCAGAGCAACTTCGGGAGGCTCGAGCCAGGAAGCGCCGCGACAAGCGGCAGAGGCGCAGAGACCGTGCACAGGCCGCTGCTAATCCTGTTCCTCCACAAGCCGAGGGAGACGGCCACTCTGACAGGGCAGTTGAGGAGGCTGCCATGGAGGAGCTGCCCGACACCACCGAGGACCCTCACCCGAAGCCTGAGACCGATCTGCAGTCGCCGCTCTCGGCTGGCAACTTGCAGGCTCGTGATGCGCAGAGCACTCCTGAAGCCCTCGTGGCTCAAGGCGTGCACTTCCTGCCAGAGGAGAGAGTTGTGCCCGAACGACGACCTTCACTGGCTTCTTCTGCGCCTACGGACGTCGTGGAAGCTTACTACCAGCGCTGGGGAGTCGCTGATCGTGCTTTGACCCCGACGGGGAGGGCTACACGCTTAGCCCCCATTGCTTCGCCTTCACAACCGCAGCCGAGCACACCGAAGAGACGAAGACGACGGGCGCGGCCGTCGGGCGCCAGCCCCAAGGCTGGGCCAGACCGCTGAGTTTGAGCCAGGGTGCAGGGGACCGCCCATCCCGTGCACGCTCTTGCTGGGCATTACTGGTTGCTGCTTGAGGGAGCAGTCGCCATCTTTCTCCGGGTGATGAAGTCCAATCTGTACTACACACTGCGGGCCATCACCCGGATTTTTTTTGTGGTTTCTCCTACAGATTTCGTGCCTGAGGCTTCTTTTACAGTTTTCGTGCCGGAGGGCGTCTAAACTACCAACCTTCGGGTACGGTGCAGGTTGACGTACAATGCATGAATGAATGAAGGACCTGGAGAAGCAGGGGGTGGTGCCGCCTAGAACGAGCCGCACGCGAGCTGTCGCCAAACAGCACTTGGATTCTGATACAGAGCGAAACCTCAATTGAAGTTGTTGGGGCCGTGCTGTCCTTTCCGAGTGACCCCGTTGGGGAAGGCGACTTCGAGATCGAGGAGGATCGACAGAAACTCGCACCGGTCATGCGGCAGATCTTGGTTCAAAAACTGCTTCACTGCCTGCGAGTGGGTGACTTGCCCGGATTCCGGCGCCACTTCAACCTGCAGACGATTCACCTGCGGGGGCTGGAGATCGAATCAGTGACCGGCCTGGTTCCAAGCTGTGAGAGTGATGATGTGGTGGTGGAGTTCCTGCACCAAAACGGCTTGAGAAGGGTCGGTGAGGCCGACAGCGCGGGGTGGTGGCCTCTGCACTACGCAGCATTGGCCGGCAATGCAGAGGTGCTGAGAGGGCTGCTGGAGAAGCGTGCCAACGTGAACCGGCAGACGTCGAAGGACGAGCCGATGCAGGGCTTCCCGCCTTGGATGTCGGCTTTGGATCTGGCACTCTTCTACAAGCACCAGGAGGCCGCGCAGCTGCTTCTGTCTGCGAGAGCCCAGCTTCAAGGCGTGATTGTCCCGGCAATTCAGTGGGCGGCCAGTTCGGACAATGCGGCAGGTGTCCGTCTCCTGTGTGCCGCAGGTGCCAAGCCACTGGACCGGAACATCTTTGGCTTCACTATGTTGCAATGTGCAGCAGGTCACGGATCTGCAGCAGCTTTGGAGGAGCTGTTGGTGCAGGCTCGCCCAGAAAGGCTGGAGCTTTCACGAGCACTCTTCGATGTTGCAGTATTTCGAGGTGGCTCGGCAGAGCTGGTGCAGCGGTTGATTGGCCTCCGTGCCGACATCGACTTTCAGTATTCAGTGCCACGCGACTTCAGGCCGGTGGGACGGCTGCTTTTTGGAGCCTACTCTATGCAACACCAGGTCGGCCTAAAGGCGACTGTCCTGACGACTTACGCCTTTCACTTGCATGGCAGCACGCCGCTGATGCAGGCCATCAGGTCGGCTCAGTTCGAGGCCGCCGCGGCCCTGATCGCGGCCGGGGCCAGACTGGACCTCTGTAATTGTCGGGGCTGGACCGCGGCAGACTTTGCCCGCGGCCAGTCGGTTCCACGCTTTCTGGAGCTGGGACTGCAGGGAGATCCGTGCGAGTGCCGAAGGGTGGCATCCCTCGCATGTATCGACGGCTACGTCGAGGTTCCCTTTTGATCTTTCATCCTTTTTGCATTCAAAAACATCTTAAGCCCTGAGCCCTAAAATTTCTGGGCGCTTTAAGCGCCTTATTCCCGAGTCATCGAAAGCACCTCCGTAAGGGGTGCTGATGGCACTCTCAGCTCGCGAGCCCGGGTCTGCGCTAAGTACGTTGAAAGCGGGTATAAGTGAGATTAGGGTTTCTTTTGGGGGTTTAGGGGTTTATAGGGTTTGGTGTGGGGTCTAGGGATTTAGGTTTTAGGGGTTTTAGGGTCAAGGGTCTCTTATCTTAGTAGATGCTTAGACAGTCAGTTTGGATGCTGGGCTCTCTGCAGCTCCCTTTGTCCTTCGGCCAGGTGCGGTGCGCAATTGCGTTAACAGCCTTGTGTCGCAGCGAAACGCTGCGACAGGGCGTCTGCACTGAGGCCCTGTTTCGGTATTTAAGCAGGCACGGCGGCAGACAAGCAGCGTCGATCGTCCGAGCTTCGGTGCTCAACAAGCTTGTTCACGTGAGTGGTTTCAAGCCTGACGGTTCTGCTGTGGTCTCAGGAAGCGTCTGTCAGGCATCCGAGCTCATGAGGCCTCGTTCCCTTGAGACACAGCCCCATCAGCGTCCCTCCAAGCTTCAACTGCGGAGTCGGAATAAGGACAGATAGTAGTCCCGATTTTTAGTCATATGATTATTAACCCACTGCCCAAAAAAGCACCTTCTTGATTGTTGACTGCTGAGGCCCCTACATTACTTTGTCGTGTTCTTGGGTTGGACGGCCTCTAGGGATTCGTAGCGCCCGAGAATTTTGAGCATTTAGGGGTTTGGTGTTGTCGTCAAGGTCCTGATCTTCCGGGAAGTGCGGGAAAGCCCTAAACCTTAAACCCTAAAACCTACTAAACCTAGGGTTTGGGGTTTTAGGGTTTTTGGGTTTAGGGTTGAACCCTATAAACCTGAAGACCTAAACATGCTCAAGCCCTTAACCCAAACTCCTTCAGGCACGGTTCGCTTCCACGGTTCGGGCTTGGGGCAGTGCCTCCTCTTCTGGGTATGTCAAAAGGCTCAAAGTGCAAGATTTCCATGGAATGCTACACTGCATGGGCCCTGAGTAATTGCGGTTTTTTGGAGGGTGATCCTCAATATGACTAGGATGGAGGATACCAGAATACAGCCCGAGAGCTAATTAAGGCCCCTGTCCACTTCAACAAAGCGGTGATTTGATGTCAAGGTCCGCTGGAAAGCGCTCAAAGTAACCCCAGACTCAGAAGGGCGCGAAGTGGGGATTCCGTTGGGCACCCGTTGGCGGAGATTGATGGGAGGCACGAGAACCCGAACCCGAAGCGGGGTCTGTAGCTGCAATCTTGCCTAGAACCGCCTCAGAACCTTCAGCTGCCAAGCAAATCCCCAAACCCGTACCCCTAAACCCTAAACCCCATGCTACCCCCCAAGCTCCGTAGTCCCAATCCCATGAGCCAGTCAGATGAACCGAGTAGCTCCAGAGGCCATCGGCCAATTCGATACCGGCAACCTGAAGAAGGCACGGCCCCAACACAGAACAAATTTCTGGAGCTGCTTGTCCATGTTTTAAAGCCATGATAGGGTACCTGCTGTCAACATGTGTACTGACTTGTAGATTTCAGCTATCATGAGAACAACGGTGCACACTCAACCAGTCGAGAACTGCTAGACCCCAGATCAGTTCCACTCTCAAACCCCTCACTTGGCAGATCATTGCGCTCAGCAAGCAAGGTCATAAGTACCTTAACCGGCGCTGCAAGCAATTACATGTGCGGTTACCTGGTTTCTACCTCTAGTTATCAAGTTGCGTGATCCTTCAGCCACCAAAATCCTAGTCTAATTGTTCAGGCTCCTATGTTATTGAAGGGGTCAGAGGAGTTCAAAATCCGGTCACACGCAGGATTGCAATCCGGAGTTTTTCATTAAGGGTACTTGTAACCCTGCAAATGGCTTTACCCCTTATAGCAGCCCTTGTAGTAACTCTTTACTAGGCTTGAGAGATACACCCTGACCTCTCCACAAGCTGATCCCTGATTGAGGCTTGATAAGCTATCAAGCCCTTCTGAGAAACGCTTCAGAAAGCGCCAAGCCTGCCCAACTCTGAAAAGCTTCTTACCCCTTGTAAACAACCTATTGTAGTTCATCGTTTCTTGGCATGGGGGAGCTGAACTGGGTCGAACAGTTGGAGTAGGGTTTGGAAGTGTATGCATTTGTACTTTCATACAAGAGCTAGAGAGGAATATGAGATATTACCACCTAGCCAGTTTGTCCGTCTTTCAGCATCCAGGATCCCAGGACTCCTCGCCCCAGGACTCCGATGCGGACTTGTAGCCCAACTCGAGGGCTCAACCGCCTGCGGAGAAGCTTTCAACAACTCCTAAACCCTGAGACCCCCACCGACAAAAAAGCACCTGAAGCACGCGGCGTAGGGCTTAGGGTCACCAGAGCGCGCCCGATTCGCCGCTGCAGCCTTCAAGACTCTGGGGGGAGGGTTGGGGCTTCGGGCGATTTGGCCCGAACTCGGCAGCGCCAGTCCTAGCTCGAAGGCTGGGCAGCTTGCTTTGGAGTCAAGAGGTTTGAGGCAGCGGAGAGTGCTCTTTATGAGGATGCGGAGGATAATCATGACGATAATGATGATGATGAATAAGGATAATCATATGTCATAAGAATAGATATACTAGTGATAGTGGTCGGTATAGTGATGGTGATGGTGGTTGTGGTGATGATAAAGATGGCGAACACGAAGAACAATACCACGAGGACGATGATGTAGCTTGCTACTGTCTTTCAAGAGATGCTGTTGACTGGATACAGCACCATCAACTCGCTGATCTTTAGTTTCCACGTGTGAATGGTTTCGGGCCGAAGCAACAACCTTCAAATTGACCTATACAGATTTTCGACAGCGCGACACCAAAAAATTCTAGGCCTGAAGCCCGCAACCAAATTCGGAAGCGCTGTTTTCTGAAGCCGAAGGCTACAATAACTCCTCAGGCACTGAGGATAGTCTTACGACTCCAAAACCCCCAAGTGTCGGAATCCGAAATGTACAGAGCCATACAAGCACCGCAGGAACCATATATTCGAAGGTCTGTTTGTGATTTCCCCATCTTGATTATGACGAACCCCCATCTTGGCACGTTGCCTGCGGTCTTTGGTGACCTTCTTGTTGTGATTGTTCGTTCTTGCAATCAGGCACACTCAGACCGGAAGTATACTATGAAGGTCTGGCTCCTGAATAAAATGCCCAGGCCGTTTTTCTTCTAATTATAAAGGCCCCTATGTTGCACGGAAGCAGAGGCGCTTGCCGTGCCCCAGTGCCCAGATGAGCGGCAAGCAGGCGCGGAGGGCGTCGGGGTGCGGGTGTAGACTTCGGGTGTTGAGTTTCAATTGAGGGTTTGGGTGCTTGGATGAAATTTGTGGACCTTCCAGGATTTTTCAGGTTTTAAGGGTTCTGAGCTAGGGGCCAGGGCGCTGCATGTCCCTTTGTCCAGGGAGCGGAACAGGACCTTTTGAAAGCGACACCCGTTAGGTGATGTAGGACTAGTGCTTCTTTGCGTGTGGGCTCCTTTTCTGCATTGGCCCTGCATGGTCCTGCCAGCCCTTTGACTTGAGGGGTGTTGCGGGTTGGTTTAGGAGTTCGGTTCAGTTGGGCAGCTTTCCTATAAGAGCCCATAGACAATCGTCCTACGTCGGGTGGTAACAAGTTCAGCATTTCAAGACTCAGCCTTTGCCAGAGAGCCCTTTCCTTCAAAAAGCGAGTGGCTGGAACAGCTGAGGGAATCACCAGCACTGAGAAACTCGAAACCCCAAAGCCGCAATCCCAAAAGAACAGAAGGCCTCAAACCCTAAAGCCCTAGTAGGCCCTAAAGATTAAAAAAGCCCTAAACCCCTACAGCCCTAAACCCTAAAGCCCTAAATCCCTAGACCCTAAACCCTAAAGCCCTAACCTAGCCCTTAACCCTAAAGCCCTAAACCTTGAATCCTAAACCCTTAAGCCCTAAACTCCTTAAGCCCTAAAGCCCTTCAGCCTCAGGATAAGGATGGATATGCAGCCCTGCAGGGTCGAAAAGACCAGGACGGCAGCCTGGGGCTCTTGTTTTAATTTGTGGATTTAGTTTTAGTTATTTAGGGTTTAGGGTTTGGGGGTTAGGGTTTAGGGTTCAGGGTTTAGTTTAAGTTACTATAATAAGGAAGCCGTTTATTTGTTATAGATCCCTATACTGGTATCTTAAGTCACAAAAGTTCCTTGACAAGAACCCAGCAGCGGGGAAGCCCTGCTTCTTGCCTAACACATGGGCCTGGGGCCTTATGATTAGAATAGGGTTTGGCGGGATATTTTAGAGCACGCGAATGGTATATTTTTTAGATTCTAGTATACTCATGATACGGAACCCTTGGGAGTAACGTGGCGACCGTCCCGACCCAGCCTGTATGGCTTGCAGGCTGTCCAGTGATAGATCCCAGACCATAAACCCTAAACCGCCTCGCTGAACCCTACACCACCAAATAGATCCGAGAAGTTCTGCCATGCGCGACCGGATCCGTATAGAAGACGCAAGCTGTTAAATCACGCCCGCATACGACTAAAATCCAAGGCTTATGAAAATCCGGCATCCCAACCCGGCTGAACCCCCCACTGATATTCCCCAATCCCGGAATATAGAGTCTTGACAAAGCGATTACTGTGCTACTGGTAGTACTATATTCCCTAGGGCTCCTTACGATAATTCTCGAGAAAAGGACCCCCAAACACCATTCCAAGAATTACGTCCCCTACATTAGCCGAAGATGGGCCTACGTGTGCTAAATTTTGGAGCCCCCATGCTCCAAAACCCCAGGTCTTCCCCACAAACACTTAGTTAGGCTTTAGAGTTGTAGGGTTTAGAGTTTAGGGGGTATTCTTAATTCATAGTAAAGTCCCTCATCTAATGTAAGGTTTATTCCTGAATTAAGGTGTATACCAAGGAGTATACCGTACAATTACACAGTAGGATCCCTATAGAATTTGAGCTAGGCTGCATCATTCCTAAACCCTAAACCCGAAGCCCTAAGGGGTGTTTAGAAGATTCTGGACTGCTCCCACCAGGCCACAAAAGAGGGCTCTCCTTAGATAGAATTACGGGGTCCAGCGGCCTTGTAGCAATATTCTGGGTTCTTGCCGTGAAAATACTAAAATAAGGAAGCCATACTTTTTATTTAGATCCCTATCATAACCAGTATTCCCTTATAATACTTGGAGAAGCTCTTTAAAACGGGATATGACCCGAATAAACTGCTAACAGCTTCATGTTTCAAAAACCTTGGCTCCTCTAGGTAGTCCGTATTTACTTTTGCTATGGTTATGACGTGAGAGCCCTACTAGTCTAATTCTTACGACCCCCCATATTCGTCTGCGTTTTGTGTCGCCTCAGGGTCTAGGATGTAGGGTTCCGGTGCGTTTCAGGCTTTGTCCGTCGCTCTGTCTCTCTCTTTCCTCGCTGCCAGTTTTTTGAAGAAGCTACGAGCAGAGTGGAGAGAAAGAAGAGGAGACAAGGAGAAGCTTGGACCCGAACCGCGCACCCCAAAGCTCAAATCCCAACAGGAGGCTGCAGCTCCAGCAGCAGCAGCAGCAGCTGAAAAGAAGAAGTATGCAGCCGGTCAGCAGAAAGGACTTGCTGCTCCTACTTTATCATCTACTACTACTACTACTACTACTACTACTACTACTTCTACTACTTCTTCTACTACTTCTACTACTTCTACTACTGCTACGGCTACGACCACCACTACTACTACTACTACTACTACTACTACTACTACTACTACTACTACTACTACTCCGACTGCGGCTGCAGCCGTGACCGCGGCTGCGACTTTCTCCTGCTGCTGCTTTTGCTTGTGCTTCTGCTTCTGCTACTACGACTATGACAGCTACCATGGTACTAGCACTAGTGTGCGACGACCGACGACGACAACTTGTGGTAGTGCTGCTTCGTCCGCCACTACTACCTATCTGGCTGCTCAAACTCTATTTGCATACTTCGTGTCGATGCTCCGCTTACGTGGGATGGAGTCTCAAGGTCCTAGAAGACAGGGGCTCAGGCTCGATGCTTAGTCGGGCAAATCTTCACTTTCCAGAGGCCCTTGGTCTTGGGCGTTTGTTATTTCAGATGCCCAGGTTAGCAACCCCAAACCCGAAAACCCAAACCCTAAACCCTAAACCCTAAACCCTCAAAAAAGCAACTGTAACACAACGTGGGCTGCCATAGAATCGCCTTCTCCCGCCAAGGCTTCCTGCGTCTGCGCCCCAGAGCCGTGGTTTGCTGTGGATGTTTGAAGTAAAACGGGGCTTTAATGATCACCTATACTACTGTTAATGGTATCAAGTCTACATTACCCATAATAAGGAATATACCATAATTCCCATGGTTTACATAGGGTCCTGAAGTAATATGAGGGCTTCAATGGTTACCATAGTTACCTATACCCAGAGAGCCCAGTAGACCTTAATTGATGAATATACCTTAAATCATAGGG